TGTATATGTGTATTTCTGAAGTTAACATTTCATTACATTAAATTGTATTCAGATAGATACTCACCTCTCTACACAACCTCCTATCCTTCCTCCTCACTTTTGATTTATTTATTTCACTTCATCAAGAATGAGTCTGTTCAAATGTTAGTGCTCATGGAGATTACTATGCATAGAGGATGTATTGCCCTTCTATTGACAATGGGCTATGGTCTTATGATGATTACATCATAAGCTGGTGCAATACACATTAATACATGTAGGGGTGGTAGCTTCATTCAAGGCTTGTGCCATGTGCAGAAATCTTCATGGCAGTTGTGTGAGTTAGTAGTTTCATAGTGCAGAGTGATGAATATCTATTTGAAATACATTTTCAGGTAAGGAAAATGTTAAAATGTCTAACCCTGATGTATACTATTTAGTAATTCTAAAAGACTTTATATGCTCCAGTTTATCAAAAATTACAAAAGTATCATCCATATACCTGTTATTCAAAAGAGCTTAAAAGAAACCTGACATTCTTTAATCTGTTCCTTCTCAAAATGGCACATAAAGATGTTAGCAAGGGCTGAATCCAAAATTGAATCTATACCTACTCCTTCTTTCTGTTCAAATGTTTCATTATCAAAAATGAAATTCAATTCTCTCATTGTTATCTACACAAACGTGCCAAAATCTTTTTGTAGTCATTTCAAAGACAATTTCATTGTTACCATAATCTAAATCAATACAGATGTTAGTCATTTCATCTAACCCAATTTTTGTAAAAGCAATTCAACATGAAAGCTAGCAAATAAACACCTCATAAACTTTTAGGATTCCATGAAAATTGAAAACAAACTATCAAAGTAAATTAATCCTTAGGAAATTTTTTCAGAACATTACTTCAAAATCTGTCCAAATTCTGATTATAACATCCAATATTTCACACAGTAGGTCTCCTAAGGATTTTTCTTTATGAAGTTTTGAAAGTCCATAAAGGATGCTTGTACATGAACCTTTAGGTCTGATTTTTTGAATGATTGTATTATCATTTTTTAACTCAAGCAAGTATCTAATAAGCTTACTCAATTTCTTGTTATTTTGTAGTGGGATTGGTCTTTGCAATTTGTATAGATTTGTTTTCATTTTTCAAGATGCCATAATTTTTTCTATTATAGTTATCTGTATCAACTTTAACATTTGTTATTTCCTTTATCTGGTTTGGTAATTACTAAATTTTTGTCACCACTTCATCTTCTTTCCTACTTAAATGTCACTGTTTTGGGTTAAAATGACAATCATGTAAGCCATATAATCCAATGCTACTGACGTTATTGCAGTTGATGTTATATTTAAGTAAAATTTCACAATGTAATATCATTCAATAAGGTTTAAAAGTTAGTAAGAATTCATGAAAATTAGTGTCTTTTTTTTTCTTTTTTTATTTTTCAGTGGGAGTAATGCAAATCTCAAAACCCTTGCTAACACTTTTTCTTAATGTCATTTAATTATAGCTTCTTCAGGATTATTAACAAAATTATAAGGAACCTAATTTTTTTACTGTTTTAATTTATTTTTGAATAACTGATTAGTGGTATTTCTAATAACCACATTACATAAGTTTCCTTCAGATTTTGTTTACATGGTTACAAGTTTTTGTAGAAGTTTTATACACTTGTATTTAAATTTAATTTAAGTTATTAAGAATTTATTTTGGGATCAGCTGCATTATACTTGGTTTTCTAAGATTAAAAAAAGTAATTTACACATGTTTTTTGACATAGATCTTCTCAAATTCTTAGTCTTTAACACTTTGCCTGCTAAGATTTTTTTACATTAACTAACCCCTCTGTACTAACATTTTTTCAAAAATTTCCAATCTTATGGATATAATGAAATAAAGCTACAAAAGAGTTTTTTCCAACTTCAAATTTCTTTTATTTCTTTTTAGCTCTCTTTGATCAGTAGATTTTCTTGGAATGGTATGCTTTGAAGCACATGTCTGGATGGAGAGGAATTTTAAAGTCTTTACAATACCAACAAGACTCGCTCCTTTTTCCAGTTTTCTGGCTCACACGACATTGTCTAGTTGGTCTAGACTTCTTTGCAGTTTCTGGATATTTTTCCAATGAATGCCTCTTTACTCCTCCGGAAAACCTTGTGGGTGGACCAGAGCTTGGAATTTTTATGACAACTGGTCCTGGGAGGTCATCATCCTCGGATGCAAAGTCCTCTTTTGCTGCACTACCCAGTTCAAACATTGATTTTATGTAGCTCATGAGAAAAATCAAATAACACCTTCTTCTGCTCCTGCTATCAGTTATACAGCACTTGAGAGTTGAATACCAACAAATTCATCAGGTGGAACACAAGTTTCTTAGTCCATTTTGCAGTTTGTCTAGTGCAGGGATAGTATTTTGCCATCTGTTCACAGTGATCAATCCCCGACATATGTTTGTTGTATTGGATAATACACTTCGGTTTCATTTTTGGATTACCATCTTTGTCTTTCTTTTTACTATCAGCAGGTGAGGAGTCATGCATGGTAGATATAATCTTTACTGATCTATTATCCATCCGTCGACATGCAACCCCACCCTTATTGAGAGTGGCGCTTTCCAGTTTCAAAAATGGTGGGAATTCATTGTTGACTTGAACAGTTCCACAAGTTTGTGTCTGGTGTGCAAGCAAATGACTAGATACTGGTACCCCATTGTAAAAGTTATCCATATATACCTTGTAATTCTGACCATACAAAGGTCTAAGATCATCATCACAAATTTGTATCATGAAGCGTCCCATACCACAATAAAAGCTATAGTTCCAAATGTGCCCTGAACCTCATTCACAAAGTATATAACCCTTCATACCATATTTGTGTAGTTTCTGAGGGTTATAGACTCTAAATATGAGCCTCCCCCTCCATTTTAACATCCCCCTCATTTAATGACAAGTACTCTTCAGGCATGTACAGTGTGTGGAACTTCTCTATGATATGATTATAAACTGGGGATATTTTGTATTGTATATCATCACATGGGTTGGGTCATGCATCATTACTGTTGAATTGTAGAAACTTAGCTATCATAAGGAATCTGTCTCTTGGCATGACGCTATTGAAAGATGGTGTGATTAGCACGGCATCTGTTGTCCAATACATGATTGGCTGAAGTTTTTATATTACACCGGTAAAGAAAACAAATCCAAGAAATTTCCACATTTCTGAGACAGTGACATCTTTCCAGGAATGAGCTCGAGATTTTGCCTTCAGTGGTTTGTCTCAGAGAAACTGCAAAACATAAAGGTTGGTTTCTTGACCAAGTAGATCCATGAAATCATCGGTTAGAAGAAGACATAAATAGTCAATAGGGCTAGCATCATCAGGAAGTTGCACAAGTAGGCCAGGAGTGCCAGTAAATGCAGGGACATTTGGCTGTACAATATTTTCACTCCAGCCCTGTTCAAGATCACCTCAATCTCTATTCATATTCTTACCTTTGCCACGTTTTTTTTTCTGTATAAGGAGTCGATTCATCAGGTGGGGAATCATCATCATCCCTGCTGGCTTCTTTACTAACTTGTTCATCTTCCTCACTGCTACTCACTCCATTCTCATTGAAGTCTGATTCAATGCTATCAGAATTACCATTTTCATTGAACATTTCTGCCTTTGAGTCACTATCAGCAAATATTGTCCAAAACATCATGAACATCAAGACATCAGCATGTCCTCATGGGCACAGCCATCTCGAATTGCTGGTGTACGGCTGACATAAGTCATTCACTGAGATTTCCTAGTATGTCTATGATTCCCAAAATATGATGAATTGTTCATAGGATGGCCAAAAGAGGATGCCACCTCCTTATAATCACAGTGTACAAAACCTGAACATGTTTGTTGTTAGCACTGGAGGGCAGTTAACAAAAACCGAACATGCTCATTTTTAGCAGGGTAAGTGTTAAGTCCTTTGTTTTTAACATATACCAAACCAAACAGATATTTTGTAGTTAATGTCTGTGAAAAAGTTTGCTGTGTTGAAAACCATAATATTACAGCTTTGTCTACTTTCTATCTTATTCATTCTTGTTAAGAACTTGTGTCCACAATTATCAAGTGGTATAACTTATTTGTCTAAGACATACAAATTTGAAGTAAATAAGTAAATGTAGAATATGACATTATAGCATATCTGAAGTTATATATAGAATTTTTGATATATATATTTAATTTGGATGTATAAACACACCAATTTATCAAAATAAAATTAGTGGATTGGCTGAATGAGAATTATCAAGAAATATAAAGGTTTTTATGAATAGAAAATCTATACAGATTTACCACAACAAGTCAAAGAAGCCTTAGACACCATTGCGACTGTAATAACCCAGAACAAAAGGGTATTCATAGAAGCAGATGAATTTGTTGAAGAAAAACTACATTTACTCCAACAACTCCAGAAAATAATTGAAAAGATAGTAGTATCAGATGAACAGAAATTTGCTGATTTAAGGAAAGACCATATGGAATGGTTTGAAGGTATGTTATCAGTTCAAAAATTAAAGAAGGAATTCATTTGTTCATAAAAACAGGAATGGCTCTGATGCATCAAAACAACATGATTATATCATTAAAAATCTGTAGGTTATCTAGATTTAAACTTTAAATTACATTAAATTATTAATAAAATTTCTGTTGCATTTTTATGTCTGTTTAAAGCTAGCTTATGTCAAATCTGAAGTGCCCTTTATTTCTTAGTACTGTCTCAATCTCTACATTTGCAGTGATCTTGAACATATTTTGAGACACCATCACATCACAATCAGCAAGTGCATGTTAAACATTACTGGAATTGTCATTAGACCTCAGATTGCTTTTTTCTTCTGTACCTTCCCCTGATTTCAATATAGTGGAACCAATATAAGTTCCTTCACAAATTTTGTTCTTAATTCAAGAGCAAAGTTTGAATATACGTGGAAGGATTAAGCACATTTTAGTTTGATTTATGGATAAACTCCTCTAATAAATGTATTCAAGTTCTCTTATAACTGCCTGACATATTTCAGTGTATCAAAATACCACATAAGAACCATATAATCTTAAACCAGTTTAGTGATATGTCAGTATGAACTATATAGCGAAAGGTAATTGCTTTTATTGACAGATGAATACAGAGCAAATGTTATTTCTATAACTCAGTGTTTCATTAGGCTTATCTAACATAATCATATGGAGATATGTCATTAAAATTTAAAAACTGTCAAAATAAAAATACAGCACTCAAAACATGGGTGCAATCAAAATGTTGTCATAATTACATCATAATTCATAGAAAAGATAATGTAGAAAATTGTTTTGATAGTGTAAAAGCATTATTTTAAAGCAGCATATAAATAATGTTTAAGTTAACAAGAAGGTATAAGTGTGAATCAATTTCTATGAAATGACATATGTAGAAATTTAAAAAATCAAACTTAAGTATTTGTGACTCATAGTAAGCCTACATTATGGTGTTTGAAGAATAGTTGAACTGGATGGTAGTCTAATCTAATTCCTTGGAAGTTGAAGAGCCATCAAACAAGTCATGATTGAGTTAAAAAGAATTAATATTTATATCTCTATCTAATAAATTATAGGAAGAATACTATTAAATTTTTTTTTCTGAATTCACAGAGAAGAATAATTGAACTAAAAAGTTGACATTCAATCACACAAAAGGTTAGGAGATTGTAAAGTCTTAAGGACAGAAGCTCAGGACTTGCCGTGTAGCCTATAGTGTGAATGAGAATTAAATATTACTTGCTTAGTTTTGGTGTGTTTTTTTTTATAAGTAGTATGTCATTAGTCTTTTCCTGTTGATATTACTTTCTCTTTCTAGAATCTTGACCTCAAAGAAAGTAGAATAGGGTTATTCTCAAACACATGATAGGGAGTTTTGGAGAAAATTATTTCTATTTTGTGACTTCAATTTGTCTTATTGATACTTTAGTGAAGTACAAAGTAATGAACAACAGCTTAAGCACTGCTTTTATCTTGATGTTTTTTCTTATATCAAGTGATGTAATTGTTGTCAGATTTCCATGTGGACATTTTAGTATATAATTCTCTAATAATTTCTAAAAGCTTTAAATATAACATATTTCTATGTGGACATTTTAGTATTTAATTCTCTAATAATTTCTAAAAGCTTTAAATATAACAACCAGAGCAAGTTGAGGTTTTCTGTTCACTTAGAGGTAATTGTCTCTAAGTTTTTTTTTTCTTTCAGAAAATGTACATATTAAAAATATTATTACTTTGATTTCTTCAGCAGTCAGGATTTGTATTGCATTTGAGATTTAATCATTATAAAGTCAGCATCATCTGTTCAATTTACATGTGATCTGCATGTGTATTGTGTTTTCCAGGCTTAGATTATAGATATACATCTAAGAAAGAATTCATGCAAGGCAATGCACAACAAAGAATCAGAAGCTACTATTATAAGGTAAAATGTTCAAAAACTTTGATGTATATGGTATGTAAACATGTATGTTTCATTGAGCCATACCTTAATTTTACATAAAAAACCTACAAGAGTGAATTTTAACATTAGCAAAAAAATATTCTCAGTTGTATATTAATTTCTGCTGAGAGATAAGAAGCTATAAGGTTTTACCAGTATTATATATTTCTCCTAATTTTGTGGTTTATATTTGCACTCCTCAAATTGAAATACAACTAATTTGATAAATGTTAGTACCTTATTAAGAATATTAAGAAAGTAATTTAGTCACCATTTTTGAGAATCAACATATTTTAAATATTAGGAAGGTAACACTCACTTCAGAGCTCCTTATACCTGTAAATGTCAATAGATTTACTATTTCTCCAACAGGAATTGAGTTTTTGGTCAAAAAATATTGAGTAACCATATACACACACACACACACACACACACACACACACAGATTTAAAAAGAATTTAGTAACTTTAGTTGAGTACAGAAGATAAAGTAGAGATATATTTAAGTAACAGAAGTTCATGTAAGTGGTCATTAAACTGCCTATTTTGCATTACTTTTTCTAGTCTTACTTCCCACCCTCCTCAATTTCCATCATACTGTTACGTCTCCGTTTGTTAATTGATTTTTCCGTAACTTTGTTCCGACGAAACTTAAGCGACACAAGTTCTTTCTTAATAAAAACTGGTTTATTCTTTCTGAATACAACTTTACCGATACACTCAACTTCAACAATCGCGCTAAACAAACGCTATAACGACGAACGTGCTCAATAATACTTCTGACTGCAGATCAGTTACTCACTATCTACGCACATATTACATTATTCTCGCGTCACGTTGTCCCCTCTTATATATATCCGCCTACCCTATCTAGTAAATACTAGAGCATTCATGAAAAAACAAGATAGTTCTAGAAAATAGAGGGCGCCACACCAGTCAT